GATGACTTCAAGCATGGCTGAAGTCCTGGCTGACGTGCTCCTGAACGAAGCTGTCTACTTCTCTAGTAAACCTCCCATAACCATGAGCATTGTCACTGGGCTCTATGTGGCCTTCATCAGAGACTGACAAACCCAGCCGAAAAGCAGGCTGTCACAGGAAGGACAGTGGGTGTCAGGACAGAGAGTTGGAGGGTAGAGGCACGTCTGGTGTCTGCCTCACATGGAACTGCTGACCCTGGTTCTCCCTCCTTCTAGTGAAGTCCAAGAAGGGCATATGGGACTCCCTCACCGGTTTCTGCAGTTGGTATGTCATGATTTGGAACTGACTCCAGGACACCTACTAACAACAGCATACATGTCACAACTATCATTTGAGAAGTTGTACCCTAGCGGCATAGTGGTTCGGCATTGAGCAGGTCGGCAGTTCAAAACCACCATCCACAGGAAAAAGATGAGTCTTTCTACTCCCATAGAGAGTTACAGTCTCCGAAACCCACAGGGCTGTTCTGCTCCGTCCTCTACAGTTGCAATGAGTCAGAGTCGACCCCATGGCAGTGAGTTTGGTTTGGTTTTGCTGATCCAGGGGGTCACTTTAAGAGTGATCGTCCATTGCCCCTTATAATCCTTAAATGAGGTTTGTTGATTCATATTGTCTTAGCACGGCTGCCTTCTTGAAGGAATGTAGCTTTAAACTTCCCTAAAGCCCCCTCTCGCAACAGACAGCAAATCCATCCATTGCTTTGAAACATGCCAGTACCACATTATAATGTTGTGAAGGACTTGCCCCTGGAAAAGGGCATCATGCTTGGTACCGCAGAAAGGCAGCGAAAGAGGAAACTCTTAGGAGACAGATTGGCACAGTGGCTACCACAACGAAATGAAACAGCACAGCACCTGTGAGGAGGGCCCAGGCCCAGGCAGTGTTTCCTTCTGTGGTGTGTAGGGTCGCTATGGGTGGGTGAGAACCAATTCCATGGCACCTGACCACAACACAACATAAGATGCTGGGGTCTCCTTTGGCTAGTCGATAGATCCTGGCAGAATGGCTGAAGGAGTCATGGTCAACAGCTGAAGCACTCAAGGGCTCTTCAATCCCTGAAAGGATTTCCCTTGGACATGGAGGTCAAGACAAAGTACACCCAACACGGTTTTGTTTCACTCTGCCTTCCTGTGTGCACTTTTTAAAATGCTGCCTCGCTGGCCCCATGCTGGTCCTTCAGATAGTTAGGGATTCAAACATGTTCACACTACCTCAACCAACTGGCCCTTTCTCTCTCATTTCTGACAATGCGTTGTTGGTTTCTTTTCATCAGTGATCCAAGGCTGTTCACACAAGCACACGTAACTTCAAAACGAAAAAGAAACTCACTGCGATCAAGTCAATGCGACTCACAGTGACTCTATGGAATAGGGTCGAACTGCCGCTGTAGGAGCGGCTGGTGGTTTTGAACTGCCGACCTGGCAGTTAGCAGTCCAATGCATAACCCGCAACACTCCCAGGGCTCCTATAGAACTCCTCTAAATTACAAAACCAAGGGTCAGCTGTAAAGATATAGATGAACTGTATATGTTGTAATATGTGTTAATGTGGCTATAGGACATCAAGTTGATTCTGACTCATAGTGACCCCAGGAGACTGCAGCATCTTTCTCCAGCATATATGTTAATATATAATAAGTCATTTTTATTAGGGGGGAAAAAAAGCAGTTGCCACTGAGTCAATTCCAACTCAAAGTGACCCCATGTGTTTTCGAGCAGGGTCAAACTTCACTCCAAGGAGCCTTGTTGACCTAGTAGGTTACATACTGGGCTAACCACAAGGTTAGCTGTTCAAAACCACTAGCTACCCTGCTGAAGAAAGACAGGGCTTTCTCTGTTCCTATATAGAATTACAGTCTCAGAAACCCCCAGGGGGAGTTCTGCCCTGTCCCATAGGATCGCTCTGAGTCCAAATCCGCTTGATGGTAGTGAGTGTGTGCACGCGTGCATGAGTGTGTGTGCGTGTGTGTACTTCACTCCACAGAAATTAGCTATGACCTTTCAGAAGCAGATTGCCTTCCCTTCCAAAGGCTATCTAAGTGGGTACAAATTTACCACTTTTCTATAAGTACTTAAGCACTTAATAGTTTGCATTGTCCAAGAAGTCCTAAAATATAATAACACACTGCCACGGAGACGATTCTGACTCGTAGCAGCCCTATAAATAGTGTTTCCGAGGCTAAATTTTTACAGAAACAGAAAGCCTCATCTTTCTCCGTAGAGCAGTTGGTGGGTTTGAACTGCCAACCTTGTGATTAGCAATCCAACACCTAGCCCACCACCCCACCAGGGATCCTTTAAAATATAATAAGCAATGAGATTATATAGTGTATGTATTCAACCATATGTAAGGATACATATGCTTTCTAGTTTATTTTATGTATATGCCATTTCTAAAGAACTTATTGCTCATCTAATAAAAGATAACTACAACTAAGCCACTAAAATAGGAGTACAAAAGTTAAGGCCCTTGCCTAGAAAAAGGAATCAAAGAGAAAGGGACCACATCGGCAATGAATACGTATTGCAACTAAGTACAGATATTAGTTTTGAGCTTCCTGTCTGATAAAACAAGAAAAGGAATCCAACAACAAAGCAAAACATGGCAAGGCGCTTGGGAAAACAATGTTTTCCCCTCTGACAGACAAATCCACACATTTCTACAGGTCAGTAAACAAACATAGTGCATTGGAATTGTTCCTGAATCACGCGAAAAGCACATGTAAGTATTCAGCAAAAGGTGTTAAGGAATGCCTACTCACCAAAACTCTAGCCGCGGCAGTGATTCCCCAAACAGAAAGCGGTTCTTGGTAGCTAATGCCACAACGTGCCCACAACTGCAAAGATCTACTACACCCTCGCTGGATTATTATCTCCTAAGAATAACAGCCAGAAAGCATCCTCTCTCTTGTTCATGTCCAGGAAGTGAAAGTCAAGGACGAACTGAATGTCACTTACGATCAGAATATGTTCACTGCTAAGAATGGAAAGAAATAGACCCTCCTTGTGGGCATGATCCTGGAAGAATTGGAACAAGATACTTCCAAGAGAAATAATGAGATGAGATGGCTTTAGACAATGGTGAGTGTACAAGGCAATGTTTGCTTCAGAGCCTTCTCTCAGTCTGCTTCCACATCCTGACAGTCGAGGCCCCCTTTTCTACTTCAGAGCAGGATCCATTTTTTATCTTTAGTCGCTTTCCTAAGAGGAGCTGGCATTGTCTTTGTGTGGATAAAGTCACTGGGCTGCCCCTCCCAGGAGTGTTTGCCCTTTAAGCTTCGGCTCTAATTCAATTTAACAGATATTTGCTGCTGGCTTATTATAAGCAAGGTATTTTTTTAACTGCTAGGAGGGAATAAAAGGGATTTCAAGCATTACTGAACACGTAGGGAAAAGAGTGTTTGTTCTCGGGGTAATATGTGACTCTCTGCCCCTGCATCCTAATAACTGGCATGTTCTGTTCACTCTAGTACCATCATACATACTTCCAGTCTTCTAATCCTCTCTCTAGCCTACAGTCTTAGGGAAGTAGGGGTACAGGTGTTACCAGCAGTGGATTTCTGGCTTGTTCCCTTTATTTATTGGAGGGTTCTTGGTTTATTGCTTTAAACTTTAATTCCCTGAGTTCTTTTGAGATAAAAGTCTCAGAGAAAAGGAAATGGGTATTTATGAAATGCCTCCTAGTTCTCAGGCATAGTGGCTTAAAAATAGCCTTCAAGAAACAAGTTGATAGTTCGAATCTGCCAGCTAGCTTATCCTTACAAGAAAGACGGGGCTGTCTGCTTTCAAAGATGAACTGTCTTGGGCACCCGAAGGAGCAGTTTCTACTCTGTCCTGTAGAGTGGTCGAGACTTGGATTCAACTCGAAGGTAGTGAGTAGTCCTTGCGGCTGTTTTGGGAAAGGTGGGTATGCTCCAAGCAGATGCATATTAATCCTTACAACTACAAAGTTGGCAACATCTTTTGCATTTTAGAAAGGAAAAGGGGGCCCGAGGCTCAGAGAAGTTTAGAAACTAATTTCATCACAATTAAGCTCCACGGCCCTGGCTCCAACATCAGTGTGCTTTCCATGACGGCAGTGATTCTCTCGGGGAAAGGGATGCCAGTCAGGAGAAAGCTAGCATTTATTATGATCACAACGGGGAGTAAAGCTGCTACTGGCATCTAGTGGGTAGAGACCAGCGATGCTGCTAAACATCCAACCCAAACAAGCAACTCAACCCACTCCCATCGAGTTGACTCCAATTCATAACGACCCTATAAGGAGAGAGCAGCCGCTGTGGGTTTCTGAGGCTGCAAATCTCTATAGGAGCAAGAAGCCGCATCTTTCTCCCACAGCTGATGGGGAGATTGAATGGCTGATCTTGTGGTTCAAAGCTCAATCCATAACCCACTGCTATACCAGGCTCTCAAATAAAAATATTATTCATCCAGCCCCAAATGCCAACAGTGTCCCTGCTGAGAGTCTTTTCATCACAGACGCTCCCTGCTGTTCTGATAAGTGTTTCCAAGTCCTGAACTAGTCAATGCCTGATCCAATAAGAAAACAAATTGGAGTCCTAAAATCAAAGCGGAAAAGAAGGGAGACTCAGAAAGCCGAAACTACTTGAAATTTCATCTCCCGCAATTTCACAAATCCAAATGCTCACGGGCTGCTTCAACATTTAATTACTTGGAACGGGCTAAATGTTACCCTGACCACAACCTGCATTTGCTTGCAGGGACGAGGCCTGCCAAGTGTTAGTGCCATGAAGGCCACAGTGTGGACCCACTAGCAGGTTCCTAGGGCTGCTGGCGTTTGGGGGCTCTGCATTTCCAGCGGCTCGCAGGGCGGCCCGGGGGCGGGGTTGCACGGGGCGGGGCTGCGGCAGCGCACATCCCCTGCGCCGTGACGTCACAATCCCGCCTCCGGGGGCCCTTAGCAACCCGCCTGACAACCGTCTCCTGGCCGTTGCCTTCCGGGCCGCAGTGGTCCGCTCCTCCTCTCCCGGCGAGAGTGGAGCTGACTGGGAGTCCCGGCCTGGGCCTGGGCCCGGCCCCAGAGGACACAAGGGGCCCCAGCTGTCCCCACGGCGGCTGCAAGAGGATCTAAGACCATGGAGGGCAGCCGGAGAGGTAGGGGTGACCGACGGCCCGCGCTCCCCTGTGCAGCTACCCTCCCCCGCTGCGATCAGGGGTGGGGATGGGGGTGGGGGTCGGGGCCTTGTCACCTGGTTAGTACCCGCCCCCCCCCTGGTGACCTGAGCGTGGCCACCTGCTGTCCAGACGCAACTCAGAGGAGGTCCTGTCTCCCTTTCTTGCTCTGAATCTGTCGCCGTGACTCCAGGAGTCCTATCCTGTGAACTCGGGGTGGGGACCCTATTTGTGGCCTCTGCAGCAGAGCCCTCGCACGGAGCTGCAACGCCCAGGTCGCAGGGGGCTGCATCTCCTGTGCCCATCTCCTGGCATTTATAATGCCCGGTTGCACATACACCAGCCACGGAGCAGTGGAGCAGTCATCCGCGGAGTAGCTGGTGGGTTTGAACCACCAACCTTGCAGTTAACAGCCCAACCCCTAACCTACAGCGCCACCCGGGTGTGTTGTAACTAGTCAGTAAATACGTAGACGCCTCTATCATCCTGCAAGTCCACCCCCGGCCCTAACTCTTGCCTGTCTCGGAGCTTTGCTAACTTTCTGGGGGTTTTGAGGAAATGCAGCTGATGCTCTTTGCTTCTGCGCTGAGAGTCTGCGTCTGTCAGAATCTCCCAAGGACCCGAGTATTGGGCTGCTCACCCACCGCCAAGTCAGCAGCTGCAACCCGCTGGCCGCTCCCCAGGAGAAAGAGGACCGTCTGCTCCCGCAGTAATGTAAAGTCTCCGATACTCTCTGGGGCAGTTCTCGCCGTCCTACAGGGTCGCTCACCAACTTGATGGCAGGGCGGGTATTAAACTTGCAGAGAATGCCAATATTCGCCACCCTCAAAGCACCAAGCCACACGTGCAGTTTTGTACCAACACCTGCCTGCCCTTGACTCGGTACCTTTTGAGCCATATCATCTTAAGTCTCTTGAAGTGGACCCCGTCCAAATAATAAGCATTTCACGCTGCTGACATGAGTAGCGTTTTTTCTTCAAGCCAGATTTCCAGATCACCGGCCCGCACCCCATCACTATTTTTATCTATTTTAAAACGTACCTTTGATTGGTTCCTTGAAGGAGCCTGGGTGGCACAGTGGTTACAAATTGGGCTGCAAACCATAAGATCAGCAGTTCAAAACCACCAGCCACTTCTAGAGAGAAGGATGAGGCTTTGTACTATTGTGAACATCCACAGTCCCAGAAACCCTCAGGGGCAGTTCTACTCTACCCTATGGGACAGCTGTTTGATTAATGTTTGCATAATAAAGGCATACTCATACCAAAGCAAGAGTTACTTTAAGACTGCCATCGAATCAGTTCTGACTCACAACGACCCCATAGGGCAGAGTAGAACTGCCCCTGTGGTTTTCCCAGGCTGTGGATGTTTACAGTAGTACAGAGCCTCATCTTTCTCTCTGGGAGTGGCTGGTGGTTTTGAACTGCTGTCCTTGCAGTTAGTAGACCAACACATACCCACTATGCTACCAGGGTTCCCACAAAGTCAGCCGCTTGAACTACCAGTGGCTCCGAGGGAGGGAGAAGGGGCTTTCTATTCCCATAAAGATTTTGTCTCAGAAACCCACAGGGGCAGTTCTACTCTGTTCTATAGGGTTTCTGTGGGTCGGAAACAGCTCTATGGCAGTTAATTTATCCTGACACCAGGCCATGCATTTTAGGTTTTCAGAGATTTTATAACATGAAGTAGCATTATTAAGCCCACCCTGTGTACCAGGAACTAAATCCAAGTTTTTAAATCCACACAAATATTTCGTTAGAGGGATATTATACATTTCACAATGAATAAACTGAAGAAAACAAAAATCCGCATAACATCACGTAATAGTCTGGGTACTTTGGAGAAACAAATCCACGGCGACTCACGTATAAGAGAGAGTTTTATGTAAAGAAAAGGTGCATCAAGAAAACATCCCAACCCAATGCTGCCCAAGCCCACAAGTCCAACGTTAACCCATTAACCCAACACCAGTC